CCGGTAGGCCAGCAGCAGGCGAGGTTTGGAAGAGAGCGTCTCTTTGCAGGGATTACTTGTCCGAGCCGGTGAAATAGCTTAGAATGGCCCTAACCCTGTAATATCATATTTTTATTTTTTTTTATTTTTTTACCTTTACCCAAGGATATTTTTTTCATTGCTATTCAAAAAGAGCGGAAGGGAGGGGGAGAGGGAGAGAGAGAGACGTCGATGTGAGAGACACACAGATTGGTTGCCTCCTGCATGCGCCCCGATCGAGCCTGCAACCGAAGTACGTGCCCTTGGCTGGAATTGAACCCAGGACCCTTCAGTCCAAGGGCTGAAGCTCTGACCACTGAGCCAACGGGCCAGGGCTCATCTCATTTTCTGTAGGGAGAGAGAGAGATAGAAACATCCATGATGAGAGAGTCGTGGATCGAGCCCGCAACCCGGGCATGTGCCCTGACCGGGAATCGAACCCCGATCGCCTGGATCCTAGGTCGACGCTCAACCGCTGAGCCACGCCCGGCCGGGCAAGAGTGTATTAATTTTTTATTGATTTGAGGGAGAGAGAGAGAAACCGATCGGTAGCCTCCCGCAGCACCCCAGCTGGGGATCAAACCTGCAACCTGGGCATGTGCCCTGACCGGGAATCGAACCTGCATCCCTTTGATGTGTGGGATGGTGCTCTGACCAACTGAGCCACACCAGCCAGGGCCTTATGACTGTATTTCTGAGTTTATTCGTCAAATTCAAACACCCACGTCAAAAAATATAGTGGGGAAAGTCATGCACACAAAAAACAGAGGGAAGACAAAAACAGAGGCCCGAGTGTCCCTGTGGATTGTCTGGTGCCCACGGAGAGTGGGAAGGGCCCCTGGGGGTTCACTGTGGACAGTGCCTGCTGGTGGAGGCTAGAGAGGTGCTCAGACCCCCACGTGCCAACCAGGGACCCAGGGTGCTGGAGTTGAGGCCCCTGAGCCCTCTCCTGCGTCGCCTCGTACTGAGCTTGAATTATTAACTCGGTGAGACCATGCGTGTCCCGGGGCTGTGACCCTCAAGGAGAAACCGGCCAGATGTGAAGCTTCGTCACGATCGATCATTCCAGAGCCGCCCTCTCTGCACTGTTTATACATATTTCCCGGAGGAGGGATTTTTGAGAAAGGCTGGGCGGCTTTCTGCAGAAGTGGCCTGTGGAAATGTTTGAAAACGGGCCAGTTGGCCCATGGGCTTGCTTCCAGAAGTGTCCGTGTGCCCTGCCCACGCTGGGAGCACCTCTCTGAGCTACCGGGTCATCCCGAAGCCACAGAATTAACGGCTGTCCTGCTCCAGGGACCACCCCAGAGGGAATCCCGAGGGCCTGAGGCCTGGGGCAGGTGGTGTCACTGTTGCAAACTCGGGGTCCCAGCCGCAGGCGCTCTCGTCGAGCTCACGGCTGATTTAGGGCGCGTTTCCCAGTCTGTAGCAGAAACCACACGTGGATGACTTCTGACCTTGGGCATGGCTCCCGCAGTTTGCACACGGGCCGGCGTTTGGGCAGCTGGACTGAGGTTGGTGGTTCTGTGTCTGTGGCGGACGGCGTGGGTCTGGGCCTCCCTGCCTCCCACCCTTGTTCAGGCGCAGTCGTGTTATGTTCAGACCACAGCGGCCTCTGGGATGCGTGACTTCAAAGGGAAAAAAAGGAAGCGTTTTTGACCTTGAATTTGCAGAGCTGACCTCCTCTGGGCCACGGATCAGATGTGCTTTCAAAACCGGCCTCGTGGTCCCGAGTCCGACAGGCTTGGGTCCCCACTGTGCGCTTCCTGGTGTGTGACTTGGGACAGATCGGGGTCTCCGTGTCAGCGTCCACCTCAGTACGTGGGAACGTGGCGTCTGTGTGTGTGAGGGACCCGCCGGGATACAGGAGGTCGACGCTCTGCACAGGCGGGTCCACAGTGCGTGGCCTCCGGGAAGCTGCACTTTCTGCTCTGCTGTTATTATTATTATATTTTTTTAAATATATCTTTATTGATTTCAGAGAGAGGAAAGGAGAGGGAGAGAGAGGGATAGAAACATCAATGATGAGAGTCACTGATCAGCTAGCCCGCAACCCGGGCCTGTGCCCCGACCGGGAATCGAACCCCGATCGCCTGGATCCTAGGTCGACGCTCAACTGCTGAGCCCCGCCCAGCTGGGCGACATGATGAATTTAAGGGATCTGAAAATTCTGTTTATTGCTTGTCTGTCAGTAAAACGTGTCACCTTCCTCCCGACGTTTCCTTCTCTTACACCCCCTCATTGTGTTGTTTTGGACGAAAAAGGCTCAGATGAGAACCGCAAAGCTTAACGTGACCAGTTGTAAAATGTGGTTCACACGTTTTCCCAGAAGAACAAAGCTGATCATAGGAGCTTCCCTTTGGCCTAAGAACAGACCTTAAAAATTTTTTTTCTCTGTGTCACAAAATCACACGTGTCTCCCAGTGACCTTTGAACTCTTGGATCGACTTTCAGCGTCGAGATTCCAGGATTCCTGCCAATCAGTTGTCATTTCTGCGGAGAGACCCTGGGCCCTATTTGCAATATTTGTGCCATAGCCTGTATTTCCAGACTGCACACTTTCAGGGTTCCTCCCTTTTATTTTTTTATTTTATTTTTATTTTTTAGAGAAAGAGGAAGGAAAAGGGAGGGAGAAACATCGATGAGATAGAAACATCGATTGGCTGCTTCCTGCACACCCCTTATTGGGGATCAAGCCCAAAACCCAGCTATGTGCCCTGCCCGGGAATCGAACCAGCAGCCTTTTGGTGCGCTGGGCTACGCTCAACAAGGGACACCAGCCAGGGCTAGTGGTTCACATTTTAATGCATTATTCAGACCCTGTGATGAGCTTCCACTCTGTGGGGAGAGAAACACATCTGGGTTTTAATGTCCTTTCCCGGTAATGTGGTTTTTCCCAGGTGTGCGTGTTACAGAGCAGAGAGCCAGTAGACTGTTTGCTGCGCGCTGGGGAAGACCGAGCTCTGTGCAGAAAACGGAAATGCTGTGTCGTTCTCTTGCTGTGTAATAAATCTCCACAAACTCAGCAGTTAAAAATAGAGAGAGAGAGAGAGGAAGGATGTGTTATCTATGTTCCTGGGCTCAGGAGTCCAGGGGCAGTTGGCTGGCGTCTGCCTGGGCCCTCACCCGGCTGCAGTCAAGGGTTCGGCCAGGACTGTGGTCTCCTGAGGCTCAGATCTTGTTTGAGGCTCCTTCAAGCTCTTGGTGGGATTCAGGTCCAGTGGTGGTCGGACCATGCCACGTGCTCTCGCTGGTTGATCGCCAGGGGCCCGCTCTTAGCATCTGGCCCTGGCCATGTGGCGCCTGCACGGTCCTCTGGCACCTGCAGTGTCTGACTTCCTGTCTCTGACCTTAGGCCCAGGTTGATGGGGCTGCTGTGGCTCCGTCAGGCCTACCCGGTGGTCTCCCTGTTCATTGTCTGCTAGTCCACCAATTAGCCACCTTTGTCACACTGCAGGACTGACCCCCACCATGCACAGCCCCCACCTCACTCAGGGCTGGCAGGGGCGTGAAACCAGGGCTGGGGATCTCAGGCCACCTCAGAGTCAGCTTTCACTTGGGGTGGCACCTGTCCTTAGGAGGAATATCACATGGGCAACTAAACAGTGTTGCTTCCTCACATTTCTGTGAACAAACCCATGGCATTGAGAACTGGGATGATTTTCAATCTTGACACTGTAAAAATCACAACCCATGCATCTCAGGAGAAGCCTATGGTTCATGGAGGAGTCGGGCATCTGCCCAGGTGGGGTTAGAACTTGGAGTTCGCAGGGAGGCCTCAGAGTGGTTACACTCCAGAGACTTCTCTGGAAAGAGGAAGGGTCACTTGTCCTGTCCACCCCAAACTGTATCCACAATGACCCAAGGAAGTGGAAAGCACTCACGTCACTTACTGCTGGGTATAAAAATCCAGAGAGCGTGTTGGTACCTTAGGAGGCCCATGTGAGTGTTGTCTGGGATTCAGCTCTGTCTCCCATCATGCTTTTCTGTGTGTAGATGTGTGGAACATGCCTGGTGCAATGATCCTGTGCCCCCCCATTCCTCTGCTGCCCATCACCCTCTCCCTGGGAGCCCATCCTTCCAGCCGGAGTCGTGTGCCATGAAGTTCTACCGTCAAGGTGCCAGCAGGGCTGGTGTCTCCGGAGGCCTCTCTCCTTGGCCTGGCCGTCTCCTCACTGTGACTTCCCGTGGTCTTCCCTCTGCATGCCGCCTCCCTGTGTCTCTTCCTCTTCGTCAAAGGACACCACTCACATTGGCTTAGGGCCCCACCCTAAGGCCTCATTTCCCCTTCTTTAAAAACCCTACTTCCAAATGCAGTTTGCTGGGGAAAAAATAAATAGAATACCCTCCCCATGAAAAGGAGGGCTACCTATATATATGTGTTATATATAATATATATAATGCGTTATACATAATAATTATATTGGCATGATTGTTTCATTACATATAATCAAGTATGCTTTTNGTGGTATATGTAATATATATAATGCGTTATACATAATAATTATATTGGCATAATTGTTTCATTACATATAATCAAGTATGATTTTTTTTGAAAGGATACAAGTTCAAGACTATTACTTTACTCTTTTTTTATTCTTAATCCTGACCCAGAGATACGTTTTTATTGATTTGAGAGAGAGAGAGAGAGAGAGAGAGAGAGAGAGAGAGAAACGTGGATGGGAGAGAGGAAACATTGATTGGTTGCCTCCCATACATGCCCTGACCTGGGATCGAACCCACAACCTAGGTATGTGCCCTGACGGGGAATTGAACCCTCAACCTTTCTGGTGTACAGATGACACTCCAACCAGCTGCGCCACCAGCCGGGGCTGAGAATGTTCTTTTTAAAGCGTTTTCTGTTATGGAAATGTTCAGCATACTAGAAAGCAGGCAGAATTGTTCACTCAGCTCCATGTGCCCGTCACCCGGACTCGACCACCGTCGACCTGGGGCCAGTCTGCTAACAACAGTCTCTTTCCCAGGGAACAAAAACAGTACGTGGACCGATTCTGGAAAGAGATTCGCGTGGGAGACTTCGTGCGTCTCCGCTGCAATGAGATCATCCCTGCGGACATTCTGCTGCTGTCCTCCAGCGACCCCGACGGGCTGTGCCACATCGAGACTGCCAACCTGGACGGAGAGACCAACCTGAAGCGGCGGCAGGTGGTCCGCGGCTTCTCGGAGCTCGTAAGTGACCAGGGCATCCCAGGCTCTGCATCCACGTGCTGGTCCTCAGGGTGTCAGAGCGTCCCCCCCTCCGTCAGGCCAAGCTGTTTTTCCTAGCAGATGGAGGCGGGACTGAGGGTCAGAGTGGACCCCTGACCCAGTGTTCATGATTCCAATGTCCGCTGTTCACTTTTGAGCTTCTCAGGCCGGTATTTGGGGTCGCTTTAAAGTTACAAGGAGCACTTTGGACAGCTGACTGCCGACACTTGCCCAGCTGCTGCTCTCACGGCGGCCTGTTCCCAGCATGTGGCTCCTCGGGTGTTTCTGAGTTCAGCATCAAGCCATCTGTCACTGCGTTCGGTGACAGCCAGCGTCAGCCACAGCTCAGAAAAGCACAGTCCCTGGAGAGAGAGGAGGAAGGGAAGTGAGCTCTGACCACCTGCACTCGCTAACCGCCTTGTGGCCGCAAAATTCAAACCTTGTCAGGGTTTCTAGCCATCTGTCCTTGCTCCCTCACCCCCCCCCGGGTCTGTGCAGGATGCAGGGGAGCAAACTCCAGGAGCAGGAGCCCTGGGGGATCAGGAAGCGTCCGGAAGGGACACGGTCTGGTCGTCACTTGTGCTCCCAGCACCCGCTCTGCCCTGTCTCCGTGTACTGAAGGAAGCGTAAGAAATGCCCAAGGCAGCCCTGGCCTGTGGGCGCAGAGGTTAGAGCGTCAGCCTGCGCACCGAAGGGTCCTGGGTTCGATTCCTAGTCAAGGGCATGTACCTGGGTTGCAGGTTCATTCCTCTGCTGCGGGAGGCAACCAATCGATGCGTCTCTCTCACATCAATGTCTCTCTCTCCGACCCCCTTCCACTCTCTAAAAGTTTCTGGAAAAAAAATATCCTCGGGTGATGATAAAAAAAAAGACATGCCGAAGGCAGTGAGCTTTTGTGGTTCGGGAAGGATGTCCCCGGGGACCTCCTATGTGTCAGTCGGTGTCCCCCCCCCCC